CCAGCCCTGATAGAGAAACGCTGATTTGGGGTCCTTAGCTTGAAACAAATAAAAGAGGAGGGGGAGCTTGTGCCTGCTCAGAATTCTACCGGCAGATACATTTAAATTCTGCTGTGATTAAACGCCATCATGTTCCAAACCACATCAAGGATTATTTCTGAAACAGTATGGAGCTCAAATGCTTTTTCTCTTGCGGGTTTATCACAAAGTGAGTTCCTTTTTATGTTCCTGCTTCTTCACACACATGCTCTCCAGTACAGGTTAGCTCTGAGTGTTAGCGATGCTAATGTAAACACCGACCATATTACGTCCAAAACAGTCGGGCATTGTTTCTGATAGCAACGTTTCTGATAGGGCTGTGGGTCCACATTTCAGATATTACGTCATATTGTACGCATATCTGGATCAACTCCGTTGTAGCCCCGTTTTTAGAGATTTGGGTACGGAGGAAAAGAGAGAGGGTTTTATTTTCTGACGCTGTGTGAGTTCCCCGACACACCGGGACACATATTTAGGTATAAAAGACATTAAAAAGTGCATTTCGCATGATAGGTCCCCTTTAACACTTCTTCTGCTCAATTAATGTACTGCCAAGTCAGCTGCAGGAACTAAGTGTAAAAAGAAGCAGTTGTAGTTAATAGTTCCTATTTTGAAACTGAGTTCACAAACCCATTGACAGTTTCTAAGAGTTAGAATGGATAATACATATTGAAGATAATACAAGACCTTGACTATATTTGTTGGATGTTTTACTTTAATTTCAACATTTAGACTGAAAATTGTGGAATAGAAATACAATTTGTTTGTATATACTGGAGACTCAGTTTTAAAGTTATATACAATATAGTTAATTCAATCTAACTCAGTTTATCGGGTCAAGACAAAATAAAGAAATAAGACACATTTCAGATATAGCTGACTGCTACCAAATATAAGGCTTGCATGTCTATATGACCGTTGAAATAGTTAGTATTTTTCCTGTCATGGCCATAAAAGAGATTCCATGCTAAGGCATCAACGCTGTGAAGGAGAGGGGAAACATCCAGTCTGAAGAAACCCAAGCATATTGATGTTTTTGGTTATGACAATCTTTTTTAGTGGGGGCACAAGGGCACCATCTTAGTGTCCCCATTGAACTGTGTGTTTCTGCATCGGCTTATCAAGACGTTTTCAGTCTCAGTGTGAAGAAAGATTTGTGTGGGAATTTGACTACTGGAAGTTTTTTTGCATGCAACACAAATGACAAGTGACAGCCAACATGACAGACATTATATCCAGTAAGCCAAAAAATACATTCAAACCAGGTGTGTTGCTTGCCAGGAACTCAAACTTCTTTATCTACTTTTTACTCAGATTGTTATGTTATGGGGCTTTCAGACCAAGAACAGAGGCTTGAATTACAATCAAAAGATCAGTTATATTTTATAAGACCAATAGACCTATGTGTTTAAGGGCTTATCAAATACACAAACACTAGACAGTGAAGAGTTTACAACTTAAACGTTTTTGAAGGTATAGAAAAGGTTGTCCAGTAATCACAGGTTTGGCAGTTTGATCACTGGCTCTTCTGGTCTACATGTTAAGTGTCCAGCCAAGCGCTGCACACTGTCCCTTTAAAATATATACATTTAATTCTGCCCAAACCCTACATTTAATATCACTTATAATGCATCATAGCATGTCATGGTATCCGTGTCAGCGTATGTCTACTCATACCAATAGACGCCTCTATGTTTCAGATTGTTTCCTAGGAAGCATCTCCAGTGTTCAGCAGCCAATTTAAGATTCATGAGATTAACAGCCGGAAGATAACCTGTTTACACTGCCGATACAAATAATATTCTCAAATGCAAGCGCAAACACTTCACACTACAGCATCCTCACCGGTACTCGCCTCTCAGAAGCTCCTGACCTCTGCTCTGTGTGCGCCTGCACCTTCATGAATAATTTACTCTATTAATAAAAAAACCTTCAGAAGCTCTCCTCTCTCATGAAGCCTGAATTAAAGAGTTGATTTGCAATTACAAAGCCTGTCTCCAGCCTCATACGGGGCACCAGAAGAGCCCTGAGGAGTGTGTGGCTGGTGTTGGCTGGAGTGTTTGCGATCCCTGGGCTCAGGTTGGGTTGGAGGGGATGCACGAAGTTGGAGCTAGAAGGACAAGAGAAGCCTAGAGGCACGATCCAACAATCATCTTCTTCCGGCATGCTTCCCCAGGATGCGCCCCCTCCTTCTTTGAGCCCACCTTAGTGTTGTCCTCCACAAACCCTCCAAAGAGCCACGGGGCCAATACAGATCCTAGATCATCTCTAACATTATTCCCTGTGGGAGTCTAGCAGAAAGTGCCCCCTGACAGTGTTCAGGGTTCACTTGGCTGTCAACAGTTTCTTCAGGGTGTTGCACATTATCCTCTGTATGTGTCCGGCATAGAAAGAGAAGAGAGAGTCAGTATGTGTCCATACAGTACATGTATTGGGTAATGTTACCAATTTGTGTTATCCTGTTAAGATACACATGACATACCACACAATACAACAATGTCTATGTCAATCATTCAACGAGAACAAAGTTAAAAGTGTGCAGGTTTTGTGGTGGCTGCATTAGATGTGAATATAAAATTGTCACCAAATCTTTAAGTTATTTTCTCATAATGAGGTTGTCTGCTGATTTGATTAATGTTAATGGTTATCATGATTTGGCAGAGGGTTGCAGAGGTGCTGACAACATTTAATTTAAAGACATATGCTCATTTCATGTTATTTTGTGCTTCTACATATTGACATGCTTCAATGTTCAAAAAGCTCTTTATTTTTCTTATACTGCCTGTGCTGCAGCACCTCTTTTCACCCTCTGTATACCGTATAGTGATGTGTTGGAATTGTCTCGCCCCTTAGCCTATCATGAACAATCTGTTGGAGAGCTGGCCAATAGAAATGCAAGTGTTTCACAGTGATGTCCTTATGTAATGGAAGTAAACTAAAAAGTCCAATGGAGGGGGAGAGGGAGCTTTGGGATTGTAGCCTGTGCAGACCATTTACATGCACAGAAACCTATAAACACTACAGGAAAGGGGAAACCACAAAAAGCATACTAGGGCCTCTTTAGTGACCTTGCGCAGAAAACAAAGCTGATTGGTTAATCAAAGACATCATTTTACAAACGACCAATAAAGGTTCAAATAAAAGGTAGAATTAAAGGTAAGCCGAAATTAAAGCAGCCTAATAGTTTTTTTCCCGTTTTTTTTTCAATCTGCAAAAACACAATCGTGCTTTGGCACATTCTTCTGTTTGCCATCTGAATGTTGGCCCTGGAGCCAGTTAGAAAATGAAACATTTGTATTTTGCTTTACAGATTGGTACCTGGGACCCTCCCAGCGGACTGAACATGACGGACAACCAAAGGAGGAAGATGACCAACGTCTCTGACTCCTTATCCAACCGCTCCCTGGTCGTCTCCACCATACTGGTACTTTATGTTTTCAATGGATCTATTTGTCTTCTGAAATGCTGCTGTGGCAACACTTTGCAACAAACGAGTTGGAGTCATTATGTGACCTTTGATATCGAACTTCAGCCAGCTACGCACCTGAAACAGAGATCCAACATGCAGGGCTTATCTCATGTTCTGGTCTTTGGTGAAGAAATACCACACAGACCTACTTGGTATACATACACAAACCCATTAGCAGTTCAACTCTGTCATCTAACAGGATTTCAGAGTAATGAAGCCTGCAATATTCAAACAGTTACCTCTCGATTCCATCTTGGGCCGACAATGTGCAAATTAAATATTGCAGCTTTAAATGTCTGTTTATAGCGAAATCAAATTGTAATGGTGCTTTATGTGGGACCAATTATAGAGGCATAGAACAGCTCTCAGCCATAACAGACTCTCTCCAAAGATGTCATTATTTTTAAGCTTTTCCTCTTGAAAAATTCTTCACTGCTTTGCCCGGACTGCCCTTTCTGTTTAGGGCCCTTTCCTGGGATGCTGCTCTCCGACTCAATTGAAGTAGAGTACCCCAAAGCACTGCTCTCCCAAATTTCCAGTCAACTTCCGCACTGAGGGGGACTACCAATTCGGTAGGAAGTGGCTCGTGCTGGAAAATTGACTGATAAGAATATGATAAGAATTCATGGTTTATGGCTCTACCGCCTACCATCAGATTTATCAAGCATTGTCTCTCTTGCCAGTGGTGTCAAAATCCAAAGATTCAAATCTAACTTTGAGAAGTAGAAGTACAATATGTAAGGGAGAATGTGTAGGGAGCTCGTTGTTAATGAATACAAAATAGGATGTTGATCAACACTGATCAAGGTTTTCTGTAACTGTCCCAGTCCGTTCACATTTTCTTTTCCATTAACCAGTCTTTAAACTCGCCAGAGCCCATACTGTGTTTCTGTTAGTGTTTACTTCCTGTTGGTCTTTTTCTGTTTTGCCCGTTAGTGTTTACTTCCTGTCTGTCTTCCTCTGCTGTTACCATTAGTGTTTACTTCCTGTTTTCTCCACATAGTCCTTTGATCTTCCTTAGCGACGGTCTGTTAGCAAGAACTAACAACCTCAGAATTGAGTATTCATCCAAGCCATGTGATAAGGTTGAGTTAAATAATAAAGTAATATGATTATTAGGACAAGGAAAGTAAACACGTTATTATTGCGTTTACGCATTAGTTAATTAACGCCGACAATAATTGTATCGCGCATTAACAGTTTTTTTATTATTATTATTATTATTACTTTGAAAGTCTGTTGCTCACTGGCTCTGAATACACATACAGGCCGTTTCTCAATCTCGAGGATACTGGCTTCCAAGCCAATATTTCAAGGATGCTACGTCATCGAGTGCCGCCGAAGTACTGCCCACTCTACCGGACCCTATAAGATGGATTGGTACACAAACTATCGAGGATCGAAAAATCAAATTACCCTACGAAATTGTCATGAATGTCATACACCAATCAGTTATTTATTCACTAATTGCGTACCACGATAAATAATTAATAGATAGGTGTAGACATGAGAAAAAAATTGCTTACCACTACAGTCGGAGAGACCTGGGCAGGGGTATGCAGCAAACCGGGGGGGCAGCCCGGTTTTCTTGGTCAACGGGGAGTTATACCTGTCGAGTTTGGCCTGGCAAAACCTCTTGGTGTCCTACAAAAAAAAGGTCGGTTTACCAGGGAATAGGTACCCCTAAGTGACGAGAGCAAAAAATTTCCAGGGAATTATTGGCACCACACACCACCCACCACACACACAAACACCACACACCACACACAAACAACAACACCACAAAACACACACACACACACACACCACCACACACACACACCACCACAACACCACGAACACCACACACCTCCCCCAACAACCGTTTAATACCACGGTCGCATGGGAGGTAAAAACACATTTCGGTAATATAGGGAACCAAATTATCATAAATATCGAAAAATTTTATCAACAAGTAAGCTAAACCAAACGAACAAAAAGATGTTGAATAAGGAGAGTACGCAAATACAAAAAACAGTTGGCAGACGTTTTCGTGAAACGGAGAGTCTGTGATAGTAAATATAAAATTTACGTAGTTTATTCCAAAAGGTATGAGTGTTTCCCGTGATGAGGGAGGACGAACTCCTGAACCCTCCCCTCATCCTTCTCTTTAAGGGGAAGCCCTAACATCCGGCAAACATGGTGGTCAATTTTGTTATGTGTTTTTTTGTTAGTTAGATTGCAGTGATATCCATTCCTTTTTCGGGGTTTTCTTTATTATCCCCGAGAAACTTTAGAAATTTTACACACGGGAATTTTTTTCTGTCTTCGGAGACGACGACGGGAAAAGAAACAAACGTTGCTATGTTGACAATTTACTGGTACACTGTCACTGTGATATGAGTGTTTGTTTGGGACTCAAACAAAGTAAAAGGGACAATAAATTCTCGTCCATCAAGGTGAGACAAGGTCGTCACTCGATTATTTTGTGCCACAACAAGATGCCTCACGAGTGGAGGACGAGAAGAGTCTCTGTAATGTGGAGTATAATTAGACGTCGAGAGGGCGGTAATCGGAATTACATGAACCTAAAGGTGGCGTCGTAATGCCCTCCACTAAAGGGTTCATCTATTTGACCAACTAATGCCGGTTACTAAGAGTGTCATTAATTGTAGTACAAAATATTCATGTATTCGGGGACTCTTTTTACCTACTCTTAGACCTACTTTCACATGAAGTTAGTGTTGCATTGTTTGGGGGGTAATAACAGTCGGCGGAGGGAACGGAGAGGCGCGCCGAGTGTCGGTAGTGTGTGTAGAGGGGTACTGAGGTCAGGGACTGTACCGTTAAATGTCGGCACCCTCTCAGGTTCAGAAGCCGATTAATTGACGTTAGGTGTAGTGAGTGTCGGTGCGTGTCTTTCCTTTTTTCCGGGTGCTATTTTATTACCTGTTGGGCGTTAAATTTGAACTATAACAATAAAAATGCGAACGGGGAGGAGTTATTGCCCTAGGTAATTACCGAAAATTTAAACCCGAGCCGAAATATGCTCAAAGGAGGTGACAGTTACCAGAGGAGTGTAACGTGTTTCACACACCGAATGGACAAAGGATCCTCATTGTCCTTCCGTATTAAGAGGTCTATAACATTAATACATTCCAATGTGATAGGTCACTTCTCTTTTGTTTTTCCGAGGTCCAGGCGGCAGAGGTATACACGTTATGCACACAACCGATTGAAATATATATAACGTAAATACATTTTATTTTACACTCTCCGGCCGACTTCCGTACATTGTATATCCAATGTTCACTTTCTAAAGTCTACACCGAAGTCAAATCGAAATTGTGTATTCTCTGACATCCTGGCCGTTCGGTAGCGGACTAGGATAGGTTTAATAGTGAGTAATTGTATTTCAGAGAGGGATGAAGAAAGTTTTATAGAAACTCCCTCAATGTACGACCCAGAAAAAGAACCACTTACTGGTCTACAACACGTCTCCCGAAAAGGTTTTTGGAAATCAAGTGGTTTCTTCATCAGTCTATTACCGGGTCTTTACTACAAATCTAAATTATTTTACAAGCGTTCCAAATATGGGGATACCCAAACTTTAATCTAAAAAGTTTGTATTGTTAAACTTAACCGAACGAAAAACTTAATTTCAAAAGGTAAGAGGGATAGTATCGAGGTCGAGTGGAACTTAGGTAAAACCACTAACCTACACTGATCGTTGTCTGGTTGTTTGAAAACAAACCTCAAAAATTCCTTTCATACCCTACGGAGTTCTTATTGAAGGCTACGACATAAAACACGGTTCTGCTTGTTTGTCTTAGGATTTTACAACCCACTTTGTATTGTCCACCTCGAATGTACAGTTGTCTAGGTTATAGGTACTGTACATTTGTTTGACTTACTAGAACAACTCTCGAGTCATGTTTGATCTTCCATTTGGAAACTCAACCCATGGAAAATTGTCGTCATAAGGGAAATGTGGTCATCCGTCAATTTTTATAAATCAACATGTAATGTAATTGTACAGTGAACAATCTGTGAAAATAGATTTCGATGAGTTATGACACCTGTTAAGGGGGGTCCTCGTTAACCCCACTTCACCAGAACGGTCCCTGTTGTTGTTGTACCGACCTGACGGCACCGCAAACTTGGACTTGGACGACACTGGGGGACCTAGACTTGTGGTTGCGTGCGCGTCTCTTTCTTCTTTCAGGGGTGCACGAACGTGGTGTGCGGGGGTATGTAGAGTTGAATTTGTCTACTTAATTACATTAAGTTTTAGTTTATATTTTGGTTTCCATCAAACGTGAACGGTCCCACGAAATTCGGCTCCAAAATTAGCTCAAGGTCTCTATTCTTTTAAGAACTTGAAACGTCACCCAATGTTTATTGATACCAAGATTTTTGGGGCGGCAGACTTCTCTACATTTTACAGATACAGTCTCGAGACCCTGGAAAGCGGAGATAACAAAGAACAGGGATGGTGAAGAAAGACGCAAAGGCACAGTACACTCGTGACGTCGTCAGAAATCTTGTCGGTGGGGTAACCAACTCTGCGCACCTTACTGCCGTATGATTCTGGTTATGAAAATAGGTTGTAGGGTGTGGGGAACACTGGGTCCCCAAACAGACACGGGCAAAAGAGCTTAGCGACTCCTACGACCGAACCATTCAGCGCAGAAGGTTCAGTGAAAGGAAGTCTTTGCTTCGTCATATTTTGAAGGTCGGTGCCCAAAGCCTTTTGCTTCTTCTACCTTGTCCGAATTGTTCACACCGGTGAGATTGATTGCCAAAAGTTGTATTTGACATGGCGCTTTCATTTATAGAGTGCGACAAGATACGATTAATACTTGAACGAAATGAAAGTGCCTTGTAGTAAAAAACCACCTAATGTTATACAAATTTTTTCAGTGCATCAAATGGTTGTGTACAAAGATGGCGGTGATATGAATGTAAATTTACAA